AGGGAAAGAAAAAAAATGCTCTAATGGCAAATTTGTAAAAAGGGTCTGGTTTATCTGAGCTGAAGAACGTAACCTGAGTTTTCTTACAGGGCTAGATTTTCATGAACTGCTGAGCAGTTACCTCCGGGGAAAAAAATGTTCCTCTTGAGTCTCAAGTATGACTATAATCTTGGCCTCACAATTGTAATGACTTTGCAAACAAAGCCAAACAAATTGAGGCCTATCAACTTTTATATAATTTTTTATCCAGTTGTATGTTGTGTGTCCTGTTAAGTGAAGGATCTGCATGGCAGATGGGACCCTGTTGAATTCAGGGGGATTGTGATGTGCACCTAAACTGAACACATTTGGAGATTCGGATTCGTGATGGTTTGTGATGAAAGTTGCTTCTTTCTAGGAAACATCTGGCGTACCATGTTCGCTGAGATAAGATCTCCGGCTACATGGACCACTTGCTTGTTTTGCTGTCTTATCCCTAATAATGCTGTCATTTTGACTTAAAATTAATGTGTAAATAATTTAGGAAGTTGAATTATATGTGTGACGTCAGTAGTCCTGTTGGCTTGATCAAACCGAACGTTTTGCGAAACAGTCATGGGGTTATGGTTTTGTAGGCAGTTGTGAGGTGCGTCTTTTTCATTGAAGTAACCGTTTCATTTTGACTGTTGTGGAATTTTGCTGGGTGTCTTTGGGAATGTATGTTAGGCTCTGTTAAAGACGTGGATTGTTTAAACTTCTGATATAATTCCGATAGGCTTTATGATAGGTGGTATTTGAATGTGTGGTAGACAATTCTGTCTACCCCTTCTCCCTTGCACTACCCTCTCTTTTCTCTCACTGGAAAAAAGTTATTTATAATAGGAAGGTCTGAACCATTCAAACTTTGTGCCTGTGTTGCTTTGAGCTGTCTGACAGGTGAAGTAATTTATGCACTGTGGTTCTTAGTGAGCAGTCAAAAGCCACAGTGCCGATAACCATTGATAGACTGTACTTGTTAATGTAGTTCTGTAAGTCTCTACAGCATCAGAGAGTGTAATTCCCTTGGATGTAGTGCAAATTAGATGTTTCATCTCAATTGAGGTGAATTAGTAAAGCATTTTCTAAATGCTTCTCTAAAGATTATTTTATAATGTTAATGAAAATATTTTAATACGGGGTAATAAATGTAAACATCAGTAATGTGGGCATGCTTTTACGTTTTTGTTAGTTGGTAAACATACAGTAGGTGAAAAGAATGTTAACGTGAAATGCAGCCTGTTTTTTATGTTAATGGTTGATTAGGTTATAGTCCTACAAAGAATTGGGCTGATGTGACCTCATATGTTAGTGTAAGGTTCTGTTGATTTTCATGTAAGCATAAGCGATGCATTTATTTTGTTGTGGGTCTTCGTCTAGGCTTGGGAGGTGAGAGACCTTGTAAACTAAATGTGTAAGTGAAGTATGCCTAGTTGAATTAAAAATCGGTTTGCTTTTAAAAGGTATTTATTAAGAGAAATCATGTGAAAAGACAAAGTGCCAGGTAAGATAAGTTGAAGTCTCAGTTCTGCTGAGAATTTCTGAAAGGTGGGAAGCAGGTGCGTATTGTAAGCTTCTGGTAAAGGCGGCAGAAATTAATTAAAGGCGAATAAGAATTCACTGTTGTAAATATTGGGGAGGTAAGCGAAAGTCAAACAGAGGAAAGAGGTCAGTTTGTAAATAAGAAGTTGCAAAAAGTTATTATAAAGACAAGCCATTATGCTGAATTTCCTGAAATTCCATATATAGTAGGATGAGAAAGTGTGAGCAGTTAAAATTTGGGACCATGTGAAATAGTTACTGACATCAAATAGAAGGGGTTCTTGAAAGATTGGATGATATTTATAAGCCATTTGATCTTTAAGATGCCACTAAGAATTTGAATAATAGTACCGATTAATTCAAGAAAAAAAGGGGAAGAAAAAAAAGCGTGAGCTGAAGAACTAGATAAATTTAGGGGATTCTGTTCCTAGTAAAATAATGGCAAAAATATTAGGGAAACAATCATAAGCAGACTGGAATTTTCCAAGCAAAATTACTTTAAAAGAGTTTTGCTTTGTTGTTCTTGATCAGTGTTTAAAATTAGGATCTGATACTGCAACAGCGTCTGCACTCTGCTCAGTGAGTATGGAGAAGTACAGGCCTGGCTCGCTTGCCAGATCTGATTGCAGGTTCAAGGCCCCAGTGGATGAGGAGAAAGTTGTAGCTGTAGTAGTACTTTACGTATTTTTCTGAGATTCAAATACATCTCAAAATCTCTCATTAAAAAATTATTTATGTATGTGGGTAGTCATCTGAATGAAAAATTGGGTGAAGGACCATAAACAAAAATAGAACAAAGTTTAAAGAAGAGATTTGGTGAGTCACAGCAGTTTTGGGTGCTAAAAGAGCAACATAAGTGCTTACGTATGCACATAGTAACACAGGTTTAGCCATTTTAGGCGTATTTAGTGTCTGGATTGATTAACTTTACGAGAAGGTGAATAGTACGCTTGTGACATTAGCAGACAGTGATAGTGGGAAGAGTTAAACCCAAGTCAGGGCAGAACAAGAAAAAGGCTATCTAAAGAAATTAGGCACATTGTTGGAAAATACAAATGAGATCTAGTTTGGAAAATGCAAGCTAAAACAGTTGAGGGACAGCAATCCAAAGCAGGTATTCACTGTGAGGGAATAACCTGGAAGGCAGCATTGTTGAAAAAGGGACAGGAGTGATACCATGGGCCTGACAATCCTGTCAGTTGTGTGCACCCAGCTCCCTTCCTGCACGCTTCTGACAGGAAGAACAGGCCCCGATTTGCAATATGATGTATAGACTTTGTCAAAATCAGAAGAAGTTTAGGTTGCATTCACAGAGGCACTGAACAAGTGGGAGATGAGTTTTTGTTTGAGACTGTGTGGCTGTGTTGGGAGCGCTGTTACGCTTTCAGAGCCTCTGCAACAGGTGGGGCAACTTAACAGAAGCTTAGA